AGATGGAAAAATTGATGTTTTGCTGCTGGACAGCAAATATAGCTGCAAGGCAAAGAAAGGATAGTGAAGCTCCGCCCAACGCGCGTCAGACACACTTTTGCACCGTGCAGGCAGAGCAGCAGAGCAGCAAAGCTGCTTCAGCCGCGCGTCAGAACTAACTGGTACAATCTAAGGATGATGACTTTGATGGGTTCGATTAATACTTTGTAATAAATTCATGAATAAAGCACAATCATACTCAGTTTTGCTCCCGCTCTATTTTTAAATACGCAGTAGAGGTATTTAAACGTAGTAGAGGACATGTACCTGTATATAAAAAACGCGCCCTATAGTCCGGTGCATCTTATGTGTGTGTTAAATACAGTAATGGCACACATAACTGAGACTGCGCCTTTTAGTGCGATGTGCCTTATAGTCATATATTCTGTTTTTCTCTTTATACAGATGGGAGAGTTAGGCCTGTTTTTTAGTGCTTTCCTGATTCTCTGTTAGAAATAGTTATGGACTCAGTTTTTAGCATGACATCTGTATGTATTCAATAACTAATGTGTTTTACTTTAAAACAGTCTCAAAGCTCAACCACTTTACTGACTCTTTCCCAGATAAAGATACCTATAGTTTACTGTTACCTTTCCTAACATAGGAAGTATTTATGGTTCAGCTACTATTGCACTACAGGTTTCATCTTTTTAAAAGGGAAGTTTCTTCTCTCTGCTATTGCTACATACATGTTTGGAGTGGGAGGTTGCTGCATTCAACAGCGACATGCTCGTCCCTGCGAGTCAATGACTAGAAATCAGCTGGGCTTCCTTAGTTTGATTGAACTGTCTCTGTAAAGCGTCTTTAGAAGACACGTGTTGTGTCAGGGCACTAATTTAAAAAACTTAATGGATTTTTAAGTCAATTTTGATCCATTGCATACCCCTTACAAATGGAGCCCCCCCTCGCCCCTCAGTGAGGTCTAGAAGCAAAGATTCTGCTACATGGCTGTACATCTTATTTTGGCCTTTGACCAATTACATGAGCCCTTGATTGGTATATTCCATACTGTAAGTGAAGTTGGAAAAAAAAAAAGTTAAGTCAATAAAAAGGTAAAAAGCTAATTGAAAAGTTAAAAAGTAAAGTTAAAAAGTTAATAAGCCTAGTTTATTATATTTAGGTTTATAAACTAAGAAATCTAAGTGCCAGTATCAGCAATAATGCCTCTAAGGTTATGTTGTAGCAAAAAAAAGAAAAGCGATTCTTTCTTTCTCAGAGTGTTTTTCATGAATTTCTTAAAGAAACACTTTTGTTATTTTTCTTAATATACCTTAAATCCTCTAATATAGGACGGGACCTTTATTTCACTCAGGTACATCTTGGTCCAGATCATTAGGGGAAGGAGGCCAGAATTAGAGGCAGGCCTCTATTTCTATTTGATCAAAACAGGCTACCAGTGGAATGAATAAAAACAAGATCTTGTGCCTCTTTGAACCTATAAAATACTAGGTTCATTTATTGAAAAAGTACAGAGCCCCTAAAGGGACATGGAGGAAAAAAAAAACTTTTGCGAGATCTCGCAAAAGTATTGCGAGATCTTGCAAACGTTTTGCGAGATCTCGCAAAAGTATTGCGAGATCTTGCAAACGTTTTGCGAGATCTCGCAAAGTAAAACAGATGTCCTGATCCACACTCCTTGCTGGTTAGTGGCGGTATTGCACCACATAGTTGTTTGCCAACCGCCATTAAATAGAAGAAGAAGAAGAAGAAGAAGAAGTAAACAGACACAAAACAATGGAGGCGCAAACAGATCATCAATCGGAGAAGTTTATTCATTTCTATTTTAGTATTGGCCCCAACAGCGGAGGCGCAAAGCGAAAAGGATAAAACGCCCATGTGTCAGCTACAACCATGGAGGACGATTTGGAGAAGTTCTTAATTTCTAGAGAAGTCCCAGAAGACGACATTACACGAATGAAGAGAGACAAGGTCAGTAAACAATCCATTAAATAACCTGACGTAAA